AATTGTGGATGGCTATTTTCATGAAACTTATTTTAATATGATTTGGAACAATTCTAGTTGTTTTTAGGGTTTTTTGAATTAATGCAACTTCTTTCAAGTTTCTTTTACAACCCCAAGTGTGAAACGTCACGTGACATAAATTTCCATCGTTATATTTTTGTTAATATTGCTTTTAAATGAATTTTTAACGCAAATAAAACATGTATTTTATGTAGAATATACTTTATATTTTGACTTCAGCGCCAATTCAGGGTGAATTTGTTGGACATCTATGACTTATTATGTTTCAACTACATACGCCAAATTCGAACCAAATCGGACCATAAATACGGTTTTTCGAAATATCTCAACCTTGGCGCCACCTAGGAAGACCATTTTACGCAAACATGATTCTACTTACATAGCCAGTATATATTTTAAAAAGCAGACAAATGGGCTCTCAAATACGTTAGATATAAGACTTTTATTTTTTTTGTCGTGGTGCAAACACCCATATCAAACTAAAGTGCAAGCTGCAGTTGCAGTTAACCGTGTATGTCAAAAAAGTAAAAAGCAGCAGAAAAGTCGATAGTGAGTAATACAATCTATTGAAGAATATTAACCATATTTCCGTGGAGTTCAGATTCAGAAAAGTTATTAGGTATTATTCAGTTTTAAAATATATTTCACGAAAGCAAAAAATAAAAATAGCTGAGATCCCTTTCTTTTTTAAACACCTAGAATATCACTGACCATTAAAAAGGACCCTGAATGACCGCAAACCTCAAAGCATTACACATTTTTGTATGTGATTTTTAAAATGAACGATCCAAAATTAGCCGGTATTCATATTTAAAATTTTTTAGATACAGTGGTTGAATTTTTGTACTGAGAGGGTTAACCCTAAAAGTATATTCTACGCCTGCTAGGCGTATACGGAATGGGTATTTTTTTAAATTTTATTACAAAATTTACTTTTTATTTTGTTGTTTAATTAAATTTGGTTATAGTTTTTATTAATAATATGTAGTGTAGTGGTAAGCAGTGCGCGCTTCTACTCCGCAACACCTGGGTTCAGTCCGTGGTCAAAGCAACATCGCAAAAAATATAGAAAAAAGTTTTTTTTATAAACAGCGGTCGTCCCTCGGCAGGCAATGGCAAACCTCCGAGTATATTTCTGCCATGAAAAACAGCTTCTTATTAAAATACAATCGCCGTTCGGAGTCGGCGCAAAACTGTTGGTCCCTCCGCTTTGTGTGACAACATCAAGGCGCACGCCACAAATCGGAGGAGATGCTCGGTCAAACACTAACATATGTGTAAGCGCCAATCTATTATTATTATTATGTTTTATTATTAGTCAAACTCACAGNGCGTGCCTTCCGTCTAGTCGGCTCAGCTCGATGTTCTGGTCACATATATACAAATATCGGACCTAAGTTATAATACCATTTCGTGCTCATGAAAGGTATAGTTTTCAGATTTCAAATCGGTGAAGTAGGTAACAAAATATAAATTTAAACATTTTCTTAACTTCTTCCCAGCTTATCTATTAAAATTTCATTTTCAAAAATTTCATGCATACTGTTATAGCATGTCATTGCTTCTTAGCTCAGCTGTTGATTGCTGTTGTGTTTCTGCAGCATATTTTTAATACGGTTTAATCCTGCCTTATATGAAAATGTATATAGCAGGGATGGGAAGGCCGAGGCCGAAAAGAGCCACATCTAAGTTCTAAATGGNTGGGTTATCAGGTGTCTAGCAATACAAGATTAATTCTTGTCTTTCACGAAGTTCTTTAAATAAATTTTGAGCTAAGTACTCGCCTATAAAATTTATCTTTAGGTTTATGCATTTTAAGAATACACCGAAAATTTGTTTTAGAGAATCAATGTGAAATATTTACTGAAACGATTACCCGGTTTGCTGAGCAACCAACACGTCTGCTCTTTAAATAATTTTTGTAAAACAAATCCANAGCCACAAAAAAAGAACAAGAAAAACAAAAATTTTATTTTTAAATAAAATAATTATTAGAAATGAAAAACATTAATTTTATTATTATTCTATTTTACGTAAGATAGATATAAAAGAAAATTCAAAAATCCCTTTGGCGAGATTTTCAAAATCTGGTTTTAGGTCTNCCCACATGCCAGAAACATGAATGTGTAAAGATGAAAATTTTGGGATTTTTCTATATGTCGGGTCCCCCCCTATATTCGATCTTGGCGACGCCCATGTTTACATAGCTCTTTACTGCATTTAAGCGCTCGGTGGAAAAAGCATTTTAGTGAAATACTGAGATACAATAAAAGCCACACATAATTCACATACATGTATCAGAGATAGCCGAAATAATCAAACGTGTACTTTAAGGATTAAAGTAGAATACAAATTTATTGGAAATTAAATATTAGAATTGATTTTTAAAACAATTAAAGTTAAAGTANCTAAGCAAACAGCCGCATTTTGCTCAAAGAGCCACGTTTGCCCACCGTTGGTATATAGATTTTTAATTAGATAATTGTTTAATAAATTTTACTACAGTATATACAATGTAAATAATAATGCCGAATATGTTGCATGTGTTCCTTTTGATGATATGCATAAATTTGATGCACGATTTGATTTGAATTTATTCGGCATTGTCTTCATATATCACCNACATACCTGTGGGAGAAGGTACATTATCGATTACAACTAAGTCACCTATTTTATATGGCCGTGGTGTTCGATGTTTGGCGTCGAACC